TAAGTCTGGTGCACCCAACCTCATAAAAACAATACTACAGTACTTTAAGACCCAGATTAATCCCAACTCATTAATAGTAGGGGTCTTCAATACCCCACTGTCTCCATTAGATAGGTCAACAGGGCAGAGAGTTAACAGACATCTGAATTAAACAATACCATATATCAAATGGACCTAACAGATACCTAGCAAGTATTCCACCCAAGGACCAAAGGACATACTTTCTACTCAGCACCCCACGGAACCTTCTCCAAAATCAACCATATACTGGGGCACAAAACAAACCTTAACAAATACAAAAAGATTGAAATAATTTCATGCATTATATCAGACCACAATGCAATAAAGGTTACAATCAACAATGGAAGAAGCCCTAATCATCACATGAACACATGGCCGATTAAGTATTAAGTTTTTTATATCGAATAATCAAATGCTTACTCAGAGAATTTTCAGTGCCATATAGAAATGTAATAAAGTTAATGCTACATATTGGTTTAGGAGTTTTTATTTTATCTGTAAGTGCACTGATAAAGATAAACTTTCACAAATAAACACTTGTATTGCTTTTCAGAATAAATAAAATCATACTTCCTGGATTCAACAAATATGGACTGAGAGCTTATGAGAAGTTGGGTACTAGTCTGGGTGAAGAGGGATAGCAACAATCAAGACAGGTCAAGTCTATGCTCCAGGGAGATTTGTAGGCAGGTGGGGTTTCCCCCACAAAAGTAAGGAACAAGTAAACATGAAAAAATAGATCATAATTGTGACAAAGAGAAATACAAACCAACATTACACCTGCATGATTATTAGCTCAACATCCATGCAGATACCTTACTAAAACTCAGCCAAATATTTAAAAAAAAATTAGTCAATTCGATGAGCCCGAGATTTGAAAATGTGCTGGATCCAAATGAACACAAAAAATAATTTAATAATATGCAGATAACTTGAAAAATACCAGACAGCCAAAATTCCCAGAAAGCCTTTGTTCCTATTGATAGCTACAAATCATGTTGTGTTGAGGAATATTTAGTTTAATTTATCCTAAGGATTCTCTCCTTTTAACTCCTCCCTGGGGATTTCTGTCTCTAAAAAACAAATCAGAAAAACAAATCAAGAGAAAAGCAATGTATGTAGATGATTCCTATTAAAGAGGCAGCAGAAAATTGATTTCCTCACAAACCAAAAGCATCCTATAAGTTTTGCATGTAAAGCAGGTCTTTCTACGCAAGTCTACCTTATGTTACAGAGACATAGTGCTCCTTTGATTGGGAATGACCATAGGTAAGGTCATGCTGTGCTAAAAACATAGCCAAGCACAGGGAGAAGGGGACACGGGCAGCTGCATGCCTCGTACCTTCTTGAGCTTCTCTATCATCTCTTCAATGAGAGTGTCTCCATTCTGAGAAACTTTGCTTTCCATCTGGGTCAGCCACTCACACAACTCCTTGTTCTTCTCACTGAAGACTACCCACTCATTCAGTCATTCACTTACTTGCTGCCACCTTAAGGACACCTGGAAAATTTAAAATGGGACCATATCAAAAGTGATACCAAGAGATAACTCATATCCTGGGAAGAAAAGTAGTGACAGAGGAAGCTGATTGGGCTGGAATGGGCAGGACCTGGGCATCCCTTCAAACCACTGCATCCTGAAATATGGATTGGCCTTCAATTGCAAGCAAGAAATAGTCCATCCTGTGTTACTTTCCAGAAGATGCACAAGCACTTTTGACTCATTCACCTTCATAAAATAACTGATTCGGCTTAGCTACCATACATGGTCCAGGAGAATAGAAGTACTAAAACAGAAGAAACTGAATAGAAAAAGGACAGAAAGAAGCTAAGGAAAAGGAGAAAGAAGGAAGGAAAGAGGAAAGAACAGAAAGGGGAAAAAACAATAAAAATAGAGGGAAGGAGAGAGGGAAGGAGAGAGGGAAGGAGAGAGGGAAGGAGAGAGGAGGGAATAGAGGAGGAGGGAGAGTCAAGTGAGTCTCTCGTGCATCCAGAGTGATGCTGAGGGGGTTTACGAACAGCAACCAGAAGAAAGAAATGATTCCTGAGGTTCAGCTCCATCCTGACAATTTTACCCCTGGCAAGTTCTTTCAAGTCTCTGCTTTGGTCATTTTTCATTACTTTTTATTTCTTATTCTTCATTTTTGATATCACAGCTTTACTGAGATTTAGTACACATGACACAGCATACAACTGAATGTTTCTGTATACTCAGAGAGCTGCACAACTATGACCGTAGCCAATTTTAGAAGATTTCCGTGACCCTCCCCCACAAATCACAGTGGCTGTTAACAGTGTGGTATTTAGCTTTGATTGCCAACTTGATGGGATGTAGAATCACCTAGAACATACAGATCTCCATGCATGTGAGGGCATTTTCAGACAGTATTAACTGAAGGGAAAAAGCCATCCTTAACGTGGGTAGTGCCTCCCAGTGGTCAGCCCATGTATACAGGGCCAAAGAAAGGAGCATGCACCTGCCTGCCTTTGACTCTTCTTCCTAAGCGAGTGCGCCTATTCCTGCTGCAGACAGTAGTAGAAAATCTGGTACTGATGGTGTAAGTCAATCTACTAAATCACATCTTATAGCTCGCTCTCTCTCTCTCTCTCTCTCTCTCTCTCTGTCATTCTGATAAGTGTAAGTCAATCTATTAAATTCCCTTATTCCCTTTTAAACACACACACACACACACACACACACACACACACACACAGACGGGTGTAAGTCAATCTACTAAATCACATTTTATAGCTCGCTCTCTCTCTCTCTCTCTCTCTCTCTCTCTCTGTCATCCTGATAAGTGTAAGTCAATCTATTAAATTCCCTTATTCCCTTTTATAACACACACACACACACACATACACAGATCCTGATAGTGTAAGCCAATTTACTAAATCGCATTTATAATACACACACACACATACACACACACACACAGATCCTGATAGTGTAAGCCAATTTACCAAATCGTATTTATAATACACACACACACACACACACACACACACACACACACACACACTATTGCATCTGTCCTTCTAGAGAACCTCTCCTAATATAAGCAGCTATTCTTTTTTTTCTCTCCACACTCCTCCTCCCAGCTCTAATCTGCTTTCTATCTTTACTAAGCACATATTCATTCTACACACTCCATATAAAATAAAATCACATAGCTTGTGGTCTTTAGGTCCGTTTAGGTTATTTTAAAGGTTTATTCATGTTGTAGGATATCTATAGTTCATGCTTTTTAATTGCTAATATATTCTACTGTGTGTACAAATTAAATTTTGCTTATCTATTCATCTGTTCATGGACGTTTGGACTGCTTCTAATCTTGGTCTACTGTGAATAATGCCGTTATGCACAGGTATCTGTATGGTCACATGTTTTCATTGCTTTGGGCAAACCCAAAGAGTATATTTAAATGAATATTTGCTGGATGCTGCAGTAACATTACAGATTTTCTTTCCAAAGTGGCCACAGCATTTTACATCACTCTCACTTTTATTCTTTGCCTTTTTGGTTAGTGCTGTGTGGGGGTATGAAATGCTTTTTCACTTAATTTTGATCATCCTCCAATGGGTAATGATGTTGATAATGCTTCCATATATCTCTTAGTCATTTGTTAATCTCCCTTGGAGAGCAATTACTATTTTCTTTGCCCATTTAAAAAGCAAAATGGTCTAATATTGAGTTTGAAGTGTTCCTTAACCATTATAGACACACTGGGCTTGTTTCTCAGAATCTGGAATGATTCTTTCTAGAATTCTAAACTTTTATGAATTCATAATGCTCATTTCTTTGGAGCTACTATTTGAGTTACTTAGGACATTTCTAGCTGAGTATAATGACACATTAGCAAAACAAAGCATGGTTAGTAACCAGAAGCTGGAGGATGGTCATCCCTTCAGCTCCGTTGCTAAGGCTGGTCATTGCATTGCTGATTCAGCTGCAGGAAACTCATACCTATTGATTTGGGTTTGTTTTTTCTTTCAACATTTTATTATGAAAATTCTCCAAATAAAAGTTAAAAGAATTGCATATTAAGCAGCTATGGTATATGCCTAATACACACCTAAAATTTGTTAGCATTTCTCCCTTTTCTTTTAATATGTGTATTCCTCTAATTATTAGCATGCTTACTGTTATTGTTCTGAGAGAGCTTCTGACTATGGAGCCCAGGCACAGGCTTACCTCAGACACACTATGCTAGTAGCCCAAGCTAGTCTGGAATGCATGACCCACCTGCCTGAGCCTCTTGAGTACTGGCATTACAGGTATCAACTACCATGCCTGACTTGAAACATTTATTTATTTTTATTTCTATTTTTTTCATTATTTTGGCTTTTTGAGACAATGTCTCATTGTGTAGCCCCGACTGTCTTAGAACTTGCTACATAGACCAGGCTTGCCTCAAACTTGTAGTGATCCTCCTGTCTCTGTTTCCTGAGTGTTGAGATTACAGGCATGCCTAATGACACATTTTTAAAGTGTATTTTAAGTTGCCGGGCGTGGTGGCGCATGCCTGTAGTCCCAGCACTTGGGAGGCAGAGGCAGGCGGATCTCTGTGAGTTCAAGGCCAGCCTGGTCTACATAGTGAGTTCCAGGACAGCTGGGGCTACAGGGAGACCCTGCTTCAAACAAACAAACAAACAAACCAGCTGCAATGACAAAAAAAAAAATTTAAAAAAAAGTGTATTTTAAGTTAATCTTTTAAAAATGAAAAGGAAAATATTTCAAAGGTGGCCTATGCTTCCTAGTTACCAATTTTGCCTCTGATTTGCTCTGCCTATGATTAGGCAGATAATATTTAAGGCAACATACAATCCCAAATGCCTGGAGAAAAGTTGGGAATCAGGCAATGAGCCCAAAATACCTTTCCCTGAAACAACCTCAGGAACATGGGATGCCCAGGCAGGGAGCCACACAACCTACCACAGTTTTTGAAATTTTTCTATTACAAATTTGCTCTTGAGCAACTATGCCCATTTAAAGTGAATAGTTTTCTGGGTTGGGTATCACTGCTGAATACAGCAGTATTTTGTCATTGATATTATTCAGTTTACCATTTAGTTAATCATTCCTTGAGGCAGAATAATACAGGATAGACAAATGGCAGTGAACTCACTTGGGATGGGCATTAATAGGAATGGAAAAGCATAAGGAATATATGTTAAGAAGTATTGTAGACAAATCTCACCTACTCTACGTTCTGCCCAAGATGGTTCTGTACAGCAGAATTATTTAACACAGAGGGATTTGGTCTTCTGGAATGCTTAGAATATGAATTCTCTACCCATCATTCATACAGCATCAGAGACAGGAGTCTGACTTCAGGTCAAACTCAGGTTTAATTGAATAAACAGAAACTTTCATAACTGGTAACCGTAACTTCTTTCTAAGGACAAGAAGTTCCTGCCTAAGATTTGGGATGGATTTGTCTTGCTCTGAGTTGCTTCCTCCAAAGATTACCCATGATCCAAGAATGGATGCTAATGTTCTCTCAAATTCCCAGAGAGGGTTATCAAAGTCTCAGAGATACTATCTATATATTCCAGAGATAATTGAACAATTTGAGGTACCAGTTTATGGTCAGTCAAAGCTGGGACCAACAAAGCTTGAGTCTTTGGCACAGTTTGTAATAAAACATTATGATCACATATCTAGACTCAACTGAGACTCAGATCTGGTTTCCATCATTCGCTAATGATATAGCCAGGGCAGGATCCTCCTCTTCTCCAAGCCTTCCTCTTTTCACTTGTAAATTAACGTTATATTTTCTCCAAACATAAGCATCCAATGTTTGTAGTAAACAATCGTCTTCTGTGTGTCAAGCACTGTACTATATTTCAGAGTACAGTGTGCTGACAGCAAGACACAAATGAGAACATCATTTAAGAAATGACTGGCACAGGCAGCAGGCTTGCTGTCGCTGACCACCCTGCATTGCTGCTGTTCCGATTGCTGCTACTGTTACACATGATCTTACTTCGGATCTGTTTTCCCTAAGCATTCATGCATTCCGTAACTCCAGAAAGCAGCATGAATATATACCCTTCGTGTTTACTTGCTCACCATGGAGCTCTGACTGAAAGAGGAAATGTGTGGCCCATAGGCACTGTGTGCAAGCCAGAGCCAAAATCTTTTGCAAAGATGTTGGCATTTGTTTTTATTTATAAATTGAATATTTAGGCTATAGATAAGTGAAACATTTCTTTCTCTGGATTCAGTTGAAACCCTGAAACTATTTATCAGCTCATCACATATTTGCTTTTTCTTAAGGGCACAAACCCATACACTGCCTCCAGGGTGGGAGAGCTGGGCAGGAAGTACATCCTTTTCTAACAGAAAAATATTTTTATCATGATGTCGTGGGAAAAAATAGAGCAAGTCATTACAGTGATGGGATGTTACATATAACATTTCAAATAGAATGACACACAGTTCTACAAACTAACAGATGAATAAAAGCAATGCAATCCATGGCTGGACCTGGGAACAACGGACCCCTTTGGAGTCTGAGAATGGGATCATTTATGCATTTATTCTGCAGCTCTGGTACATCTACTTACAGCCGTCCTCCTCATCCTCCTTTGTGGTTCCATCTGTCCCGCTTCTCATCAACTGCTTCAGAAAACAGAGCAGATGACCCCTCCTTAGCATAACACCATCTATGTTCAGCCGAGTTTGCCGACTTTTGAGATGAGACAGGCACAGGCTCATTTCCTGTTGTGGTTTCATATTCAACAGTTCACCGGAAACAACGCACTCAAGAGCTAGTCACTCCTCTGTATCCCTCCTTAAGAATTATATCCTAGTGTCTGACCCAACCCAAGGCTAAGATTGCCATGGTTTAAATAACTTAATATAGACTGGAGTAGTATGTGTTAGCCTCTCACTTTAAAACACTGACATAAAAGTTTGTAGAAACACTGTATATTCAGTGAGCTTCCTCGGCTTCCCGTTTCCATCTACTTACAGGTGCACGGTGTTACTCTCTTCACAGCTTATCACATGACCAACCACAACTCTCAAAATGTATTTTCAAGCAGCTCTGTCTAAGTCTAGTGAACAATTTTAGAACATATGAACACTTGATTTAAGAATTAGGAATAAAGATACTTCCATGACATTATTATACAACAGTTTTTCTGAAACAAAAAGTGTCCTTGATCTTCTTAGCCTCCAAAACAGTAAAATTCAGTCACTATTTTATCCTTAGTGGAACATAAGCATCAGGACAGACAAGCAACTCACGACTTTCAGCAATATATAATAAACACTTATCTGCTGCAAGCACTGGCTGTCCAGATAAAAGGTCTTTGCATCTAAGGGTCTCAAAGTCTTGGGATCAGACTGCAAACATGAAGAAAAGACCACGCTCTGTGATAAAATAGACGGATAAGGAAATGGGAATTCATAGGACTAAGAAAATATGGACATGGAGCATTTCCAAAAATGATGTCACGGGCTGTAATATGGAAGAAAATTAAATTGAAAGTCAGAGGGAAGAGGTAGTCAGTCTAGGCAGGAGGACCGTCATGATCAAGGCCTCCAGTAGAGATGCTGTGTGGGTTCCACCAAGGAAGAGAGGTCAATGCTGACTCAGAAGCATTATCTCTCTGAAATCTTTGTGGGTCTCAATTAGCTAGAGAAATGAGTCTGCTTTAATTCATTTCTTTTAATGTACTGAAAAATATTAAGACAGCAAGTATGTACAGATTTTTCACAAAAATGAGAAAAGATGCTCCAGTGGTTGAATTCATATTAAAGGATATCTGGGGGACACAAATTGACTTAGGCTTTAGTATATATGACAAAAATACACAAAGTCTGGTGAGGGGGATATGAGGGGTTGGGGATGGGTGTCTAAATATGACCAAGATGTATGAAATACAGAAAAATTCAATAAAAGTGTATATTGAAAAAAATGCATTTAGGTGGAGAATTGTAACTCTCCTAAAGTTAGGAGATTAATAATTATTATAAGAAAACAAAAATGGCAAGAATGACAGCAATTATAAAGTTCATGTAAAACTAAAGTTTCAATAACAAACAAAATTCAAAATCACTTTATTGATAATATTTACACAATAGTTTAAAAATAAAAAATGATGATATAGGGGCTGGAGAGATGGCTCAGTGGTTAAGAACACTTGTTCTTCCAGAGGACCTGGGTTCAATTCACAGCACCCACATGGCAGCTAACAACTGTCTGTAAGTCCAGTTCTGGGGGATCCGACAGCCTCTTCTGACCTCCGCGGGCACTGCACGACACGGGTGCACTTACCTACATGCAGGCAGTACACACATACACATAAAATAAAAATAAAACATTTTTTAAAAAGTTGAAAAAAATGGTGATGTAAATGTGATTTGTTTAACTCCACATGGCAAAACATCTCTATTGAGAGAATAATAATTGAAAAGTTTGTGGACAAGGAGGATGGGAAAGGATGTAGAAAGTGAAATTTTCATCTTTCATAACTAGGAGTTCAAAGATAATGTCTGTAATTAACAAAACTGCTGATTGTGTTACCTGAAAATATAGAACTAAAAGGCAGAATGATAGCTAAAATGTGAAGGTGATAGCATTAAGGCACAGGTAAATGGAAGGGAATTGGATGCATCAAGATCTGACTGATTTTTATTGTACTTCTCACAACATTGTTTGGCATTTAAGACAGACGCACATTTCTAAAATGTCTTCTAGAATGCTGTACCAAGAAACTTAAACTTTATCTTTGTGTACAGAAAACAATGCTTTCATGATCTATCAGGTCAGAAAAAGAAATATGTTTTTTTTTTTAGAAATAAAGTGATGATATAAAAACTAGAAAAGAAAAAGATGAATAGAGTCAGAAGGAAAAGAACAAGATGATAATAATTCCCTTTATCAGTTATCCATCAAGTAAATACCTTCCATTTACATGATGCATTACAGGAAATCTTTGTTACAACATAACTGTAGCTCAAGCCCACCTGGCATCATCACCATCATGAGCTATTTTTCCATTCAGACCACACCTTACCTGGTGGCAGAGCTCTTCCCACTGCCTCTGCAGAAGCTCCACACGCTCATTCAAGATGGAGATGTCCTCAGCACTGATGTAGATGGCAAGGGCATCCCTCAGCAGCACCAGCTCTGCCAAGTCATCTGTCCAGCTTCCAACGGCATTTTCCAGTTCCTAGATTGAAACACAAACCTGTGAACCCACACAGACATCTACTCTCAACCATTTGAAGTGGCTTCGAATCCCCTTTAATACAACACCCTTTCTATCCAACTCTACCTAAACACCAAACTCGATATCTGCTTTATTTGCACCCTAGGTAGCTTGAAAAATTGCCACATTCTTCTGATAAAACACCAGTGCTATGGGCTGGAAAGATGACTCAGCGGTTAAGAACACTGACTGTTCTTGCAGAAGATCTGGGTTCAATTCCCAGCACCCACATGGCAGCTAACAACTGTCCCTAACTCAAGTTCCAGGGGATCTGACTGCCTCTTCTGTCCTCTGTGGGCATTGCATGACACGGGTGCACTTACCTACATGCAGGCAATACACACATACACATAAAATAAAAAATAATAAAATATTTTTAAAAACCCACCAATGTTATTGTAGAATCTTCCAACCATCTATTTACCATTTCACTAATATTTTTATGGCATTTTTTCCAAATTAAAGTTTCATCACCGCATTGACCTTTATTTTAAACTGATTTCAGTCTAAACTGAATGCATCTAATCCTGTTTAAACTGATTTCATAACCCTTAAACATCCTTTATTTTTGTCCTATTCCTGATTACACTAATGAAGTATTTTCAAGAACAACCTCTTGGTTGAACGTTCATTTTCAAATGCTGAGTGGCTGCATTCTGTGACATATAATGAAATAGTTGAGATCTGCTAGTTAATGCCACAATTTAAAATAATTCAGTAGCTACATCTTTTGTAGGATCAGAGATTTATTTATTTTATTTACTATGGGCCCATCCATTTGAGGAATTATTTAAAGAAAAACAAAAACAAAGCAAAACAAAACCCTGGTAGCAACATTTACACTAGCTGTCTTGAGTCACAGCAAAGCTTTGTCAGAGGACTGGTTTTGCAATCTCTGCTGCTCTACTCCCCTGCCAGCTGCTGTTTTCAGATTCCAACTCATTTAGTGTATGAATGGAGAATTTCACACGATTCCTTTCCTCTCTTTTTGTCTTTTCACACCAGAGACAAGTTTCGAAAGGCAAAAGTAATTAACGGTATTGTCTGTGGCTAACTTTCCAGGCAATTTAAGCAAACAAGGTTTTAGCCTGAATTTTTCAGGTAATTGCTTTGTTTTGCTGCTGAGGGTCATTTGGGGAAGAGGAGGGTGGAACAACAGGGAGACACATCTTTTCAATCTACAAACTCAAAAGCAGGACACTTGTCTTCTTGAGTATTCTGAGAGATGACAAGTAGTTTGTAGTAACAAAAGATGGCCCAAAAGACCAAACTATTCAGGCAAATAAATATGCAGCATTCTGTTTATAACTTTAGACAGAGTATATTGTTATAGCAGTGTAAAGACCTTTGGTGCTTTTAATACCAAGTCAGCTCCTCCCCTCAAATCAAACGTCACATTTGATTTATGGATTAAAAGGAAACAATACAGCTGATCACAATCCTACGTGCCTATAATTTCAGCACTCCTTCAGGAGGCTGGGGTGGCAGGATCGTGAGTTTGAAGAAAGCCTGGGTTACACAGTGAGACCCTGTCTAAAACCAAATGAAACCAAAGAAAACCTAATGCTGTAGAATTTTCATACACACATATATATATATACATATATATTTTAAACAGAGTTACCCCATAGCGAGTGACAACTCCCCTATTAGGCACCATAGACTAACAAATAAAAGCCCAGTGCTAGGAATGGGTCCCATCTCTTGGAGTTGTTAGCCAGTGATTTCCCACAGGCATCCCCAAACATTACAGGCTATTGCCAATGCTCTTGACACAAGATCCTATTGCTGAAGACACTATGTATTTGAGTCATAGACTGTGGAGAAATGAAGTGGGTACTGACTGACAGAGAAGCTTCATCCTTACTGGATAGCCTTCAGAATGCTGGAAGGTGTTATGTACACTACCAGAAGACAAAATAATCTTACCCAGCTGTGAACCCTGTGATCCACAGTAATAACTGGCCTAGAAAATATATGCCCACTGGTACAATTGTGGTCTGAATATTATAGAAGTAACAAAACACTTTCTGATTGGATGGAAGTCCTGCTCTACAAGATAAAATTCATGCTTGACACTATTATTGGTGGAAGCTGTGGCTAGACAGTCCTAGGCCCTGAGGAACAAGTTACTATTATTATTCTGCTAAATGGACATAGTATTAAACCATCTCCTAATGTTACTGTTATACCCATAAATTATCTCTCAACCCTCCTCAGAGAAGCTTCTTGAGTCTGTAGACCACAGAAATACACAACTGTTCAAGGGACAAAGGATAGGAGACTGTGGAATGCTCAGCCCTAAATGGGACACCTGTATCACAACCTCTGCCTCCCAAGGCTCAAAGCTTATTGTGACAAAGGGAACAGAAAGATGTAAAGAGCCAGAGTCAGTGGACGACAATAAGGAACTGTTCTCCAGACACAATGGCACAGCTGCACATACGAACTCACAGTGATTGCGACAGCACACACAAGACCTGTGCAAGCTCGTGGTAGACAAAAATCTCAGCATGAAGAGAGGAGGTAGGCAGGATGACTACCCCTAGCTGAGGAGCAATGGGAGACTGATGCCTGCAGAGAAGACATACTTGTCTTGAAGAGTGTAGCACTGGTAGGTTGACCACACTCCAGGGTATGAACCCACACCCAAGTATTAGGGGAGTACAAAATGAACTCGATGGGTTTAAAAAAAAAAAAAGGACACAAAGTTGGGTGGGTAAGGAAGTGGGGGTGAACCTGGGGGGAGTTAGGGGAGAGTGAGAGACTATGCTCAAAACCTATTGTATGAAAAAGTAGCAAGTATAAAAACAATACCACACACATGCATACACACACACCCGCCTGCACATCAATAAATAACACTACCACCCAGGCCCAAATCCACTGATTCACACTCTGTCCATTAGCTGAGATAGTGTCATAGAAATCTAGCCTTTCAGTTCAGACAACGCTGACATTCAGTAACTTGAAACATTGATAATCTTCTAGAACCTCCAGTTTTCTCATCTGTCATAAAGGAACTAACAATGCACCCATGAGTTTGTGTTCATGCCAGGTGAAATCCACTGGCACAGTCACTGGCACACAGGAAAGGCCTGGTATTAATAAATGCAATTCCTGCTCATTGGAAGCCTTCTTCAAAATTTTTTTTTTGTAAATTAAAAAATACAGGTTTAAAGTAGACTCCTTTTGACATTCATAACTTCCACATACTTTCTTTTTGAGACAGGGACTCACTATGCATCCCAGGCTGGCCTTAAATTCTAGATCCTCCTGTTTCAGTTTCCTGAATGCCTGGCACAGAGACATATCACCATTCGATGACACCTTCACTCATTTCTTACTGTAATACCTCAAGATGACATTTTTCACTCATTATCCATGATGCAATGCATTGTTACTTTTTAATTTTTCTAACACTGCCTTTTTCAAATTTCAAAGAATATCTCTTATAAGATTTTAACCAGCATTTCTTTATAGTAGGTAATGAAAAAATTAATGGGAAACACAAAGAAATGCATAATTTGAAAGACAAACACTTATAAAGGTACTTTTGGCATAATCAGCATGGTGATCAGCAGAGAATTGCCAGTCAGGCACTCCACTTAGCTACGTAGGTATAGGTGGAATAAATTTTACAGCCACTGAATCATGTTGGGCTTTGTGAATTCATAATCCAGGGAGTGGTCTGTATTAGCTACTGGTTGCTTCCAAGTATGATTAGAGGTAGTGATTGTAACTATGATTAGAGGTGGTGATCATAATCTTTAAGTGATTAGAGGCTTGAGTGATTTAAGGATCAGATGACTCCTTGTATTAAGTGAGATCAGCTATTTTTCTTGCTTTCTTTGCAGAAGGGTCTGGCAGGCAGGGTGTGCTCCTCTGAGGGCCACTGTCTGCAGATGTGCCAAGCTGCCAATCTTTGTACTTCTTTCTGTAAACTAGATGTTTTTGTTAGAATGAGTCCCCAGTGTGGAGTTTTTGGAAAGATTGCTTTCTATCGCTCTTGACTTAACTCAGCGTTTAAATAATTTTTGTGGTGCATTCTAAATTTTTCATTTGCTTCCTTGGGGTAATTCCATAAACTTGTCTATAACTTCAACTGCAGTAAATCAGCAGAGCAAGTTTCTGGTAGCATACCAGGTTCACTCAGCATCTCCTAGGCTCATGTAGACAGCCACAGGAGGCTCCCTGCATGGGACTTCAGTTACTCCAGCAGAAGTATATGGGTAAGTGATGGACAGTCTCTCTCTGGCCACCAACCTTGCAGCGCATCTGCTCTGCATGAAGCTCCTCGTGGTGATCTGGTAGAGGCTGGGACAACTTCTTTTTAAAAGTTCGGAGCTTCTCCAGAGAATCAGCTATTCCTTTCTCACATTTTTCCCAGTCCTATAATCAGAAGAGAAAGAAATTGCATGAATTTTTTGAGTAAGAAATTTCTTTTTTTAAAAAAAAACTTTTATTAATTATTTTTATTTTATGTGTATGTGTGCATTGCCTGCATGTAGGTAAGTGCACACGTATCGTGCAATGCCTGCGGAGCACAGAAGAGGCTGTCAGATCCCCTGGAACTGGAGTTACAGACTGTTGTTAGCTGCCATGTGGGTCCTGGGATTCGAACCTGGGTCTTCTGCAAGAACCACCAGTGTTCTTAACCACTGAGCCATCTCTCCAGCCCCTTGAGTAAGAAATTTCAAAAGAAAAAAAGAAAATACTCTTTTTAACGGCCAGATAAATAGTTACACTGATGAATTGTGGGAAGGCATGTTCACATGTTAGGCATCACGTCTTGGTCATCAGAATAGCTGAGCTCAATCTGACTCTTATTTGTTTGCTGTCTGGCTTTAATAAGCAGATAATAGCATTCTATGTCTCAGTTTTCCTTGAGAAATGGAAATAATGCTGTACGATTGTGGGAGAATTAAAGTAAGTCACAAGAATCAAGGCACCAAGCATGACCCTCAGAGAAGTGAAATTCCACAATCTGAATCCACATCTATCTGCAGAGTTGGGAGAATCATCTCAATTCTCTGTCTCATTCTTAACTCATTAATGATTTTACCTACAATCTACACTTTCTCAAATGTACTGTGAGGGATAAAAAATAAGATAAAAAATCAGGATGAAAGAAAGTATGAGTAAGAGAAAGAGACATGTAAAAATGATATAACCTTAACCCTGATTCACTCTTTACAAAACCAGGATGAGCCACAGAGGTTAGAGTTGCAGATGTTCAAACGCACAACACCGTGGACATCACAGGCATGGTCACTGGCTTTGTCTCATACAGGCTGAAATGTGCTGCAAAGCGGTAAGTGAACAGGACAGAAAAACTCATCCCAGGAAGAAATGGAAGATAAAGCGTATTAAGAAATTAAGAAATACCTCTCTCAGGTGCCAAGTAGTGCCAAATGCTCTGAAGTTATCCCAGGATAAGTGGAAGAGAGTGGCAGCCCAGAGCATGCTGGAACTCTGAGTATTGACAAGGGAAGTTGGAGGCATAGGTCTGTCGGGGTTACATACCACTGGTAGTAAGGGTTAACTATGGGGAAGACAGTAGAGTTTGGAAGTTGCCATGAGGGAAATTTGATTTTTTTTATTTTGCTTTACATATCTCAATCATTATCTAAAATTTTAATTTCACATGTATTTCTTTTCTAATTAACATTTAGGGTCTGGAGAGATGGTTCAGAGGTTACCACATTCTGTGTAGGAGCGACTTTTTTTTTTTTTTTTGGTCTTTTTTGAGACAGGGTCTTCTTGTAGCCCCAGCTGTCCTGGAACTCACTATGTAGACGAGGCTGGCCTCAAACTCACAAAGATCTGCCTGCCTCTGCCTCACAAGTGTTGGCATTAAAAGGCATGTGCCACCATGTCCGGCCCAGGAGTGACTTTTTAAAAGGATTTTTATTGAGCGTTTGGACATTTCATACCACAGCTCTTAATAAAATTTAGATCCCTTCCCCTATCCATGCTCCCCCAACCCCCCTTTCCAAAAATGCCTGGGATTGTGAGCTACAATCTTTTTCTCCACATGAATGACAAGGAGGTATCTCCACATCACGTTCTGTAACCGTCTATCAGAGTGAATGCTTTATACGGAACCGTCAGGCGAGACAAACCAACCCAGTGACTCAGACGCCATGTCTTCTTACATCTTGGGACAATCTCCAAAAATCACATCATGAATAAAGAAAAATATATGACTGACATGTTCTCTACAGAGTGAGTTACAAAGTCTTAAATCCTTCTCTGATAGCAAAATGATGAAAAATGAGTCAGGCATATTATGTTACTGATAAATTGTTCTGTAAGCAACCAACAATGTGTAATGTGTGTTTGGGGGCAATTTTGATTGATCGTTTCCTATTCAGAAGGTAATATATGATAGCATAAGAGTCCTGAAGTGAATCGAATGGGTGTGTGTGAACCTGAAGCAATTAAGCTTGTACATTAACATTAGTTATCACCTTTGATTCAAAGGGCAAATCATATTTAATAATCACAAAGAGTTGGGTATCATCAACATGTAGAAAACTACAATTTTTGAGTGTTAATGATGTCAACAATGCTAATCATTATCATTTACTTAGTGTTCAGTGTATGCCAGGTATGGTACCTGATGAAGGAGGTAGAATTATACTTAGTCTGAATATGAAAAAAACATAGTTTTAATGTGGACTTATCAGAATCTGATGACCACTTCCTTGTTACTTATTTTTAAAAAATTTTCATGAATACATATGGATTGTATGAAAAGATTCTCATTATGAATGTTTTATACATGTATAACTGCTTAATTAGTGGTGAATTATACATAGAACAGAAATGAGAGAGAGATGCAACTGTGGATAAATCCCAGTTCCTTAAAGTTCCTGAGGGATCAGTGTGCAGTATGTGCCCAACCACAGGCCTAACACACCTCTTGGAGATTTTAGTTCACATCAATATGCTTGGATAAGCCAAGACAAATAGAGAACATCATTTGAGGTTAGCATTTCCCAACTGTAAAGTATGAGATATTGATCTTGAAAACCATTTTAGTCTACAAGTTAGGGAGTGGAATCTCCTGCTTGAATTTCTGCCTAGCTTTATGAAGCCATGATATGGTTCAAGGCGAAGCAGTGGCCGTTAATCAGAATTCAAAGCTTGGACAACCTTATTAGTGTTTAAATTACTTTGCTGGGGATTTTCATGGAAGATGAAGTGCTGAAAATTGGGAAACCTTTCCAGTTCATGCAAGATAGGACAGAGTCTTAAATAAAACACAGAGGATCAAAATACTGCAGGGTGTTACTCAAGGATCTTGAATGATTGACTTCACCGGGAAACAATAGGAGGAAATGGTACAGCTCTTAAAAGGGCCTTTTAACCTAAACTTACTTTCAACAAGAAGGCCAGCTTTTTCTTCTGCTCCTCCAGATGCTTGCTGGCTGACTTCCATTTCTCTTGGATCTCTGTGAGCTCAGCCTGCAAGACGGCCTCGGCGCCACTGTCAGCAGAGAGCAGGAGCTGCTTGCCAGCTTCCACTGTCAGGATGTAGCTACCCTGCTGTCTCAGGAACACCTTCTCTTTGAACTGAAAGGAAGCATAGCTTTTTACTTTTCATCCTTTCTTTATCACTTCCCTGTTCTAAGCACATTTCGATAACCCTACACGTTAGCATGCACAGTGTGCTACTTACATCCGGTGAGTGTCTCTAGAGTTGGTGCATCCTGGATGAACCAAGTGCAAACACAAAGAGGAGAGGCTTCTATTCTGTCCTCAAGAGAAGTACACTCACAGCATATGAAATCTGCTTATAAGACTAAGGCCTAGAGATCGTAGAAGGGCATCTACCCCAGCTTGGGTGTATACAATGGCTCTCTCAAAGTGATCAAGGATGAGAGAGTCTTGAAAGACATGTGAATGCAACCACACTGAGAAAGAATGAGTGAGGCCAGCACTGGGCGGAGGATACCTAACAGGAAGATGAGGATGGGCACATTCACCATAGAGGAGAGATGTGGTGGATTCAGGAGACAGGACAGCTTTCCATGGATGGATCGTGGGGTATGCATAAGAGAATGTCACTGTCATAGCTTGCACAGTCATTGCTTTTTATAGACAGTATCTTCGTATACAGTCCAAGCAGGCTGTGAACTTGAGAGCCTCTTGTCTCAGTCTCCTGATAGTTGAGATTATAGGACTGTGGCATCACACCCAGCTAGGGATTTGGCTTTTAAACTAACAATGAGACTCACAAAATTCTAAGCAGGGAAGTGATGCGACTAATTTAAGTTATAATAAAAACATCAAGAGGTAGGGTACAGAGCGGAGAGAAGACAACATAGACTGGATATGCTAACACAGCTTGGGCTCCTGCCTACATGGGTGGAAGTCTTGAAAGCCGCACTTAAAGCACTGGCTGCAGAGATGGGTATTTATGACAGATAAGTATGGAGAGTGGGAGACTAGGGAAGGATAGTTATGCAATGACTCTAAAGCTCCTAATCAATACATCAGAGAGTTTGTGATAACGTTCCTCAGACTAGGGACTTGAAACACAGAGAATATCTGGTTCAGACATCATAGGCTTTATGCACACTGATGTGGTTGGATTTATAAACTGAAACCTCAGGAGGTGAATATGGCCAGAAGATCCTAGTATTCCCCTTCTCTGCTGCTAGTGGGTAATTGAGGCCATGTCTATTTATGACTTCTCTCAGAGAAATTTGGAGGAGAAAGGAGCCAGAGGCATCCTTTAAAGGAAGAAAGGCCTGTGAACATATTTGGAAGGGTGGACAGTGCAGGGATGGACCAAGATTTCAAACAGGTCTGAGCCTTTTTCCCTTTTCTGGGGTATTTCAGCTACATGTTTGAATCTCCCTGACCAACACTGAGTCCTCCTCCTTTGTTATGGCTAAAATCCAAGCTCGGCTGCAGGGAGCTGCTGTGGCCTTGGTGTGCATGATGGAGGACTCTTTAAGGAGAGTCCAAATGCTTTGGTCCTGTCATTCCATCTTCACTTTGCAATGTGATCATTTTTCACAGTTCAGTTGACATTTAAGAATGCTTGTCCTAATTTCAATGTCCCTCTGAAGAACAAAGGCCAAGGTCAAGGGTACAGCTGAAACACAGTGGACATTTGAGGATGGTGTGTTTGCATCTTACCTGTACTTCATCAAAGAGGGTTCTCACTTGTTGCAGGGGTACTGGGATGCTTCCAAGACCACTCATAGGTAGATAAGACACTTCAACCAGCCATTTACGGAGCTTTTCTGCCATCTCCCTATAGCGTTGCCACTGGCGAATCTGGCTGTCAATAATGCCGCGCCTCTGCTGGGCCCGGCGAATCACTCCCTGCCACTGATTACTGAGGAGCGTCAACTTCATGCTGAACTCATCCCTGGGGAAGAAATAGTTACATGGTGAAAAAGCTGTCATCTTGGATATCATCACATAATCAGGCAACGTATACATGTCCCATAACAGTAAACCTGGGAAGTGATCTAAGACAGGAGATTTCAAATACCATGGCAGAGACTGTTACTGAATGTTAAAAGAAATTTTAAAAACTGGACCCTCAGTGTCTGAAAATGGTGAGTGTTTTTGTGTCTTAGCATGGATGGAGAACAAATCTATGACAAAGGCATTGTTAGACTCTCAGACACTCTTTCCCTGTGTATGTAAAAGGGGAGAAAGGGTACTGGGAAGGGCTCTAGGCCTGAGCCAACCCACAGCACCCTATAACAGGAAAACAAAACTTACTCTCTTCCCAGCTTGAGTCATAAGCCATTTTGGAAGATAGAAACCAAGCCACTTAAGTCAAATTATATTACTTTAAAAACCTTTTTTTAATATTTAAAAAATTTTTTAGGAGCATTTCATTACCGCTTTAACATCTTCAATATAAATTTCCAGAGCAAAGATACATCTCTTTCAAAAGTGGCTATACAATTTTTAGGTTCACAGTTGAATTAATATAGTTATACAATATTGAAAGTATAACCAAAGATTAAAGGGGCCAATATAATTTTTTAAGAGTTCATATGTTTAGCTAAAGGCTACATAACAAGAAACATGCCAGATAGGAGATACCTTCTTTTGAGTTGTTGGCCAGGGTGGCCCAAAAGATTCCCAGATAGTAACCTAGCATAGAACTGGGAAATACTGACAACTGGTTGCTGCTAGATAAGGAACAGCTGATCTTCCTAAAACAAAGACCTCTAGATAGATTCACCAGATGGACAAGTACTGGGGAATGGCAGGGGGTGCCGACACCACCATAGACAGTAGCAGGGAAGACAGAATATAAGAGCTCTAGTTGGGGGGAGACTATGGGAGGGTGCCATCTGGGAAGTGGGTATATAGCTGAATTAAGATTGTTTGGGATGTTCTGTGTGATATACACACAAAAATCAACAAATTTTAAAAATGAGTTATATTTGAGGAGGAAGCATAAAAATTTACATCATGTTAAGTAGTAGAGGTGATAAACATTACCACTGAAATCTACCCAATGACTTTATATCCATACTTTAAAAACTTAACAAATAAATATCTATTCTGGAGCTAGAGATATGGCTCAGCCATTAAGAGCACTGGCTGCTCTGGCAGAGGACCCAGGTTTGGTTCCCAGCACCCACATGGCAACTAACAACCATCCATAACTCCAGTTTCAGGGGATCTGACGCCCTCTTCTGGCCTAGGAGGGCACTGCATGACACAGGTGCACTTACAGACATGCAGGCAAAACACTCACACATAGAATAAATTCAAAAAACTAAAAAACTGTTCTGTATGAAGAATCTCAGTTTTCCTTCACAACTGACAACTCTAGTCTTTAGCAAATTATTTCACTCTTCTGTTATTAGATAATAATCTAACTTTTTCCTTGCACATTTTAGGTAAATTTTATGTTGTAGAAAAAAATTAAACTAGTCACCATACTCTGCATGAAGGTGTTCATATGTTTAGAAATAGTAAATTTCACTTGTGTCTACTTGATTTCAGGCCAGAGCAAATGGCTTTGCTTTCATCTTTAGACATACACTACTCTCTACTCCTTCCTGTTCTGGACTTGGACTTGCTATTCTAGAATATTCTACGATACCCTGGCCTCCTATATCACTGACACTTGTTATTATCTGGGATCACTGTAAACTTTAAATTTATAACCAAATGTGCTATTACCGCTAAACATTTATTTAATGATTGAATTGGAACAAAGATTACTGCATAGTGCAAAGTTAACGAAGCACTAAAAATCATTAATTGTATTGAGTAAAATCCAGTAAAATATTTTTCTTATACTCATTTTAAAAATCAGTTCACCAGGGCCATGTCCTAAGATTCTGATGATGACAATTGCTTGTGAGCAGAAATTCTGCCATGTGTCTCACATGCACATAATCTATCACAATAGAATCCAAATGTGGGGAGCCCTTCAAAGGACACCTGTCAACTCAGAAGATGTGTGAGTCCAAGTCTTGAGAATATCATGGTCCAAGCTTCAGGTCACCAGTCAAGATCTCCCAGGATCCCTGAGCTCACTGTATACAACCAAGATGTCCTAATCTACCTGCCACACGATGAACTGGAAACATATCTTCTTGGTGATGAAACTGAAGTTCTAAAAAACAAACTCCATAAACTGATTTTCAGAATATGAATATATTTGTCATCTGGAACCTTCCCATTGTCCACAGATGCAAATCCAATTTGCCTGTTTTCACTTGTAACTCTCAAGTCTTCATTTAGTTCCAAGTCTCCCATTTTCATTTCTTTGTGTTTTTCCCCTAAATGTTAGCATTTAAAATTTAATAGATGTTGGCTTGAACAGTAATTTTAAATTTTATTTTACTTAATGACTTGAATGTTTATAATACTGTTATAGATTTGGCTACAGAATTATAAAGCAAAGATAAAAGACAATTACATTCGAATTTATTTTATTCAGAAGGTCTTAAATTCTCAGTAACATTCACATTTCAGTTTGGCTTGCTTAGAACAGAATAAATATGGTATCACATTTGTTGTTCCAACCTTAACCATGAAAATCTTTCATGTACTTCCAAAGAAATAACAACTCAAAGTTGAAATTGCTTCTAAAACATTAAACACAAAACTTTCAATTAAAATGATTTATTTTCTAATGTTTTAAAAATACACTGTTAATTACAATCACAACTACTGGTCCTAAATATGAGAAACATGTACATATGTTTTAAGGCTAATTCTCTAAATATAAAGATGGAAATTAGATAAGTGAATAGTGTACCTAGGAAATGTAAACTTAGGAAACTGTCAGCTCACGTCTGAAGACAAGCTAGACTTTTGCCACTGCATTTTAAATAAAGAGTCAACTTGCTACATTTGGGAAGAGGAAGCATTTTGAATTGAATACAGTCTGATTTAAGGTGGCAAACTATTTTCAAACACAGTAGTCTGGAGAAGCTGGCTAGAGTAAGCCCAGTCCTGACCACAGACTGGCCGTAACAACACAAAGCCCCGACTTTGCTCCCACTTAGTTATTGACCTTAGTCAAACCAGTCCACATTTGTGGTTCTTGGCTTTTTCATTTCTAAGTCCGAGAGAAGACTAGTGATAGCTCTAAGAAAAAAAAAATTTCAGTAATTGCATGAGAATATTAGAGGCATCTGTTTACTAATCACCCATACAAACCATTCTTATCTATTCATTGATTCCAGTCTCTATAGATGACTAGCAAAGGTTGGCTAGGTGATTTCCAATTACCCATGTCCTTATATCACATAATAATTCTCTACAAAGATTCAATACACATTCATTTCAGAGATTCTGACAAGCCTTTCCTCCAATTACCAAGGACCCATGATAATACAATTGCCTTAGGAAGATTGGATATATGCCCTCTAATCTCTTGTTAAAAAGAAAATGACTAATTTACTAGAAACTTTCTTCATAATAATTTACCAAAGCTCCTACCTGTCATCAACTTGACCTTGTTCTAGAAGCCTCTGCCCATCAACAATGATGCCGTGTAGAATCTGCTGGCGACTGAACATCTCGGCTTGAAACAACTACAATTTAAAAGGGGTAGGGGATATAATTTAGAGTTCCTAATTTCTTCTGATAACTTACCACAGGTTTTGGTTTTAGCAAGGCTATGAAAAAAATCTTCTGCTGAATGAGGGCATGAGTTAAATCCTGCAGTGTAGGAGTAATTTTTTTAAAAATCAACAATTAAAGATAAAGTTTTAGTTTAAATTAGATGACTAGTACTTTCCCTTTTTCTTTCAAAAGTACCCAATAAATTAATAAATGTATATCATTTATGACCTGCTCTTTTTTAATAAACTGTTTTTTCAATTTAATTAAATTAATGAAATCATTTCATTATATAAAAAATAAAACTCCATGCCGCAGGTGTGGCTCTGTGCAAAAATGTGTTTAGTTTGCGTGAGGCCCTATATTCAAGTCCCACTACCTTAGAAATAATAAAAACTGAAATAATAAAAACATCATAGAACCAGGCTTGATGGTGCATACCTTTAGTCCCAGAGCCAGAGTCAGAGGCAAGTGAATCTCTGAGTTTGAGACCAGCATGGTTTGCATAGTGAGTTCGTGGTCTGAAAGGGCTATATAGTGAGACTCCTGTCTCCCTTCCCCGCAAAAAATAGTTCCATAGAAGTATGGATCTTTCACATTATTTCCTCTGTCTGTTGGTTACTGTTGTTTGTTTTGAGATGGGTTCTCACCAAGTTGTCCAGACTGAGCTTGAATGCAGGACTCAGGTGATCTCCTCAGTCTCCTGAGTAGCTGGGCCGACAGGCACACACACCACTGTTCCCATTTCCCAGTGCTTTTTAAACAGTCCATACAAGTCATATCCAGTTTAATGACTTTTATTATATTTCAGACATGAATTTCAGAAATTCAATTTTAAAACATTTTTATCACCCCAAAAGAAACTCTGACTCATTAACGGTCACTCCTTATTCACTCCTAGCACCCAAGCCTAAAGAACCATTCTACTTTTTGTCTCTATGGAAAGTGCCTCTTGTGGGCATTTCAGATGCACTGAATCATGTAATGCATTTTGGGACTGGCTTCTTTCACTTAGCACAGTGCTTGCAAGGTTCCCAGACCCTGTATAATATCATGTTCCAGCACCTTACTCCCCTTTATTCTGAACTGTATTCTTGAAAATGGGACCCTTCATTCATTCATCTGCTGATGCACTGGTGGGTTGTTTCTACTTTTGCCTATGATGATTGTTTCTGCTTTGAATAATAAAACACCTATGTAAGCTTTTGTATGGATATATTTGTCTTGGGTGTATATGCCTAGGAGTGGAATTACTGAGCTGTCTGGTAAATCTGTTTAATACACTGAGGAACTATCAAACACCTTTCAAATCACCTTCACTATGTTAGATTCCTACCATCAACTGGGTTCCAATATCTGTTAACATTCACCAATACCTATTATCTTTTCCACTATAGATATCTTATTGGGTGTGAAATGGTTCCTAATTATGATTTTAAGCTATGTCTTTTAATTTATCATCTGTCAACTCAATAAAAGTGTACTGAAAAAAATCTCTTTAAATTTCTTTAAATTCTTGGGTCTAGAGAGATGGCTCAGCAATTGAGAGCACTGGCTGCTCTTGCAGAGGACCTGGGTTTGATTCCCAGCACCCACATAGCAGCTAACAACCATCTGTAACTCCAGTTCCAGGGGAATCTGATGCCCTCTTCTGACCTCCACATGGACTACATGACACACGTACATGTAGGCAATACACTCATACACATAAAAAAATAAATAAAATATACTTTAAAATTCTTCAAATTCTCTATTTTTAATATTACAACAAAATGTTTTAAAGTCAGTCCTATTCATTTTAAAGCTCTTTGCTCTTATTAAGTTCCCTCTGCCCAAGGATAGATATTTCATAAACATACAGAGTAGTTTACTTATACCAGTAAATAGCAAAATAATGCAAAGAGATGGCAAATTAATGAATTTACTTTTTTGTTTATCACTCTATCTACTTCCTGAGAAATAATTATAATATAATTTGATCAAGAGGTATATCTGGAGATATCTGATAAGCTCCATTTCCCAACAAAAAAATCCAAACACTTCTTTTACAAACACTTTGATCAAAGCAGACCTTAAGCAATTAGTCGTGCTTGGATTAATGTAGTCTATAAGGCAATTTGAAAATTGTCCACTTTTCTGCATTCTTTCTATTTCCCCATCCTTCATCCTTAGTCATTCGCTTTTAACTACAATAATCTTCCTCCTCTCCTTCCCCCTTCCTTCCCCCTCCCTTCTCCTCTCCCTCTCCACTGCTTCCTTCTTGTCTTTAAAATTTTTTTTATTGTTATTATTTTTATTTCATGTGTACGAGTGTTCTGCCTGCTTGTATGCAAGTGCACCCATGTGCCATGCCCAGAGAACTGGAGTTACGAACAGTTCTCAGCCACTATGTGGGTACTGAGATTCCACCCTGGGTCCTCTGCCAGAGCAGCCAGTTCTCTTAATCTCTCCAGGGCCCCTTTCTTCTTTTTTAAGACAGGCTCTTGCTATGTAAATCAGGAAGGCCTTGAACTTTCTATAAGCCCTGGTTGTACCTGGAAATCTCTAATTTTCTGTTTGAAATGCCCAATCACTACAATTACAAATATGTGCAACCATACCTGTCTCTTTGACCATGATCCTGACACTACATATACATCAACACAAGGTTCTGATGATAGAAACGTGCCTGCAACCAACTACACAGCAGAGAGCTGAACCACATTTTTTAACTTATAGTACTGAAAATTTAAGAGAGGAGAAGTAAGAGAAAATGACACACTCGAGCAGATAGGGTGCTGTAAAATGCATCGCTGGTACCTAAGGACCCAGCTGGCCTTGAACTTGCAGTCACCCTCCTATCTCTGCTTCCAGGGTGCTATGATTACCACACCTGGCTAAAGAGTAAAAGTTTTTTGTTAAACCCAAATCTACTTGCATTACTTACCTCATGCGCTCTCTGCTGTTCCAAAAGATGCTGATAATTGCCTGAAATCTCCACCGCTAACTTTTGCTCTGTCTGAATCAGGAATTCCATCCAGGTCTCACATTTCTCCAAGAAAGTCTGATGCTGTAGCAAAAATGACTGCAGCTTGCTGACAGATGGAGGATGAAGAGTAAGATTATTCTGTTTGTTTCCATATCTCTAGCATATAAAAATCAGATGAACTGTTTTCTGTCTCCAGGTCCAGCCAGACTAAAGCTTTAAAATCCAAGAAAGTGATGAAACAGACATTTAATTATTACTTTTTAGCTGGGTGTGGTCACACATGCCTTTAATCCCAATGCTTGGGAAGCAAAGGCAGGTAGAACTCTGTGGGACTGAGGCCAGCCTGGTCTACATAGTGAATACCAGACCAAGAAAAAATAATCTTTTTAAATGCTTATAATTATATGCATCCTTTGTATATAATCTCATTTAAAATATTAGTTTTATTTGTGTGTGTGTCTGTGTATATATATATATATATATATCATATGCACCAGTGCCTGAGGAGGCTATAGGATGGTGTCAGATCCCCTGGAGCTGGAGTTATAAGGAATTTGTGAGCCAGCTAACATGGGTGCTGGGAACTGAACTCAGGTTCTCTAGAAGAGCAGAAAGTTCTCTTACTCAGTAAGGCATCTCTCCAGCCCTTGACTTAAAAGAATTTTTATAACTGAAAAATGATTTAATATGTTAAACATAGGAATCTAAAATTTCAGTTTTCAACTTTAGTTTAAATTTTGACAATATTACTGGAAAGGTCTAGAATTTGTAAATATATGTAAACCATGAATTCATATTCCCTTTTATATTAGTTCTGTGTTTTGAATTGTGCCCCCTGAGAATTTTAAAATTCTCATTTTAAAACTTAATGATCAGTGTGTTGGTATTCCAAGGCAGGGGCTTCAAAAGTTGACCTAGCCCTGAGGCTCTTCCTTAGCTCTTCAAAAGTTGACCTAGCCCTGAGGCTCTTCCTTAGCTCTTCAAAAGTTGACCTAGCCCTGAGGCTCTTCCAGCTCTCTTGAGCATTGACTTTCTTCTCCTAAAGGCACAGTTTCTTGCCTCTGAAGGAGAGTGGAGCAAGGAGGAGCCATCTTGGCAGCAGACAGCGACCTCACTAGACAACCAAACCTCTTGGTACCTTAATCATGGACTTCCCAGACTCCAGGGCTATTAGACAAAATACTTCTTATTTGTTTGTTTTTGTTTGTTGCTGTTTTGTATTTTTGAGAAAGTGTCTCATACATTCCAGGCTGGCCTTGAACTGACCTTGTAACAGACTGACCTTAACTATCTGATCCTCCTGCCTCTATCTCCTAAGGGTTGGGATAACAGGTGTTCACCACCACACCCAGTTTATGTGGAACTAGAGAATTAGGGACTGAAACCAGGGCTTCATTCCTGCTAGGCAAGCAGTCTATCAACTGAACTACATCCCGAGCCTTCAAGAAATATATTTCTCTCTACATCTCCCAATCTGTGGTGTTCGGTCACAGCAGCACAAACACACCAAAACAACTGGAGTGACCAAAACGTCACTCCAATTACCTGAATCTTTCTGTAGTCTGAGAGGAGATCAGAGACCAGTGTCGGTTCAGGTTCTGCATCCTCTTGATTTCCTTGTCACTCAGAGGTAACCTGTACCCCAGCTCATTGAGACGGTCTAAATCTGGAGCCATGCTGCTGAACTTTAACATCTGTCCCTGCAAGTGAGATTGAGAAGCAAGTGTCTGATTCCAGGAAGAAGCTGGGTTTGAGCTGCCCGGCCGGCACCTGCTGGCCACACACAATCTCCAAAGGAGCAGCTGACCAGATCTCTGGCTCAGCTTGTCCAGTTAAGGCTGCTCCTTATCCTTTGATGGTTGTAGGTTATATGTGTTGCTCATTTATACGATTTATTTACTCTCTGTAGAACTGATAAAGGCTAAAAATCATGCTGATGACTGAACAAGATCATTGCAAACTCATTATAGTTAATTTATGTTTGCTAATCTGGCTCTTTATTATTCAATAATAATATAGTAGAATATAGTACTTGGCGTGAATAAACATTATTATAACAGGTTTACAAGGAATCATTCATTTTATCCTCAAAACAAATCATTAATTTTATCCTCAAAACAAATCATTCATTTTATCCTCAAAACAAATTCCATAAGTTCTGCTGTAATTCCTTCCTTAAAAATTAAGACATGATGCCAGCACTCGGGAGGCAGAGGCAGGCGGATCTCTGTGAATTCAAGGCCAGCCTGGGCTACATAGTGAGTTCCAGGACAGCTGGGGCTACAGGGAGACCCTGTTTCAAAAAGACAAAAAAAAAAAATAATAAATAAATAAATAAATAAAGACATGGTGGAACAGGAACTCAGTAAGTTGAAGCTGCCCAGCTGTACAGGGTAGAGCCAGGTAAAGAGAAGCTGTTGCACTCTTGCTGGGTAGAACACAGTTTTGCCTGAACTTTGAAAAGACCACACACCACCTTAAGGGCTTCACTTTTCTGTCCTTGACGCCTATCCCCAGAGTTGGGGAGTCCCAACCAAGCAACAGGCTATACTTTCCAGATCTCTTTCTTTCCTTCAAACAAAGCAAAAGTCAGTTTTTCCCATGGGCTTTCTCATCTCCATCTAGGAAAGAGCTGCAGGAAGGGGAACATGTTAGCACACTTTGGCTCTGTGCATGTTTTCTTTCCATGCACTGGAAAAGGCTCAAAAGCTATAAAGGATGGGACTGGAGGTGGAAAAGAGGGGTGAGGTGGTCTCTAGGACTGGTTCTGATGGGACTCCGGTCTCTAGGACTGGCTCTGATGGGACTCTGGTCTCTAGGACTGGCTCTGATGGGACTCTGGTCTCTAGGACTGGCTCTGATGGGACTCCGGTCTCTAGGACTGGCTCTGACAGGACTCTGGTCTCTAGGACTGGTTCTGATGGGGCTCTGATCACAGATGGACAGCTGGCTGGTATCCATCATGAACATATAGCTCTTTCCATTCAGAGGTGCAGGAAGGGAAACCTGGGAGGACTTTCACTGGGCTCTCAGAGGAAGTCTATGTTAGCAGTGTTTCTCTCTCTCATCTAGGTAAGGAACCTAGACGGAAGATTTGAACACACTTACCTTCAGCTCTTCCATCCTTTCCTGGATGGTGGAGAGATCAGATGAGTGAGTGGGGTCCTGCCCTTGGAGGATCTCCTCAGCTTCCACGATCCAGGCTTCTAGAGCTTCTAAACTCTTGGCAAAGGTTTCGTAGTCAACAACTCCAGCCTTTATTTCCACACACACACACACACACAAAATGGCATTTAAAAAAATACATTGGCATTTTTATGAAAGTTATTCAAAGTACACAAATCTATTCAGTGCTTTCCTTATTTTACTCCTAAAATCAAGGCTATCATCGTATCTTTCTTCTCTTCATGTATCTAGGCTTTCTAAGATGGTTTCTTTACTTCTATGTAGAGCTTATAACCAATTAAAGTTTCTATTTAAATACATTATGAACCATGTTTGCCATAAATATTTTGGTTCTTGCTCAGAGCTACTGAATAGACATGACTATTCCCATTGAAATCACTTAGTGTTTATTAATTTGGTGTCATAGGAAGACAGGTATGAATTAGGGGCTGCCCCACTAAACTAAACCATTTTTAAAATTATGCTGTAGAGAACAGGACAAAACTGCTGCTGTTCCCTGACCCCAGCATAACTTCTAAGTTTCATTATTTTCTTCGATGCTATGGTGTTACAGAAAACATTGCCTCAGTGATCAGAATGAGCTTCCTGCGTTTTTGCCCAGACATAAAACACCCAGATTATAACACACACTCAGCACAAGCTCTGTACCTGCAACACCATCTGCTGTTTGCAAAGTGCCTGCTCTAGGTCGCACAAGTGCTGGCTTAAGCAGAGCTGATCGGACTGAATGGCAGCAGTTGCTGAAGCATCCACTTGTTGCTTGAGTTGCTCTCCCAGCTCATGGAGAACAAAAAGGGAATCCTTAACTGTCCCCAGTCCTTTGAGGAGGTCCTGAAGGAGAAGAAAATATGCTTGTTGTGAAACATGTTAAGTGTACTCCTTAATGCCATCAGCAATTGGCAAAGGCCACACACCCAGAAAGAGGCAATGTTCGTGGAATTATTACACTAAATACCTGCACCTGCCAAAAAATGATCAAGGCCTAATTACAATTTTTAAAAATCTAAACTATGTATTAACAGCTTAACTATACATATTATATGCCACACATACATATGTATACACACACACACACACACACACACACACACACACACACACAAATGCTCTTGTAATTATGCTAGGGATGCAGTTTAGTGGTAGAGCACTTGCCCAGCATACACAAAGTAGTACCAGGAAAAAAAATGAAAGTGTACTCTTCTGATAATACAAGTCACATAACCACATTATAGGACCTTAGAGAAATGCAAAAAAAAAGTACACAAAGAAGAAAAAGATGGGAGAGGGAGGGAGGGAGGGAGGGAAGGAAGGAGGAAGGGAGGAAGGGAAAATAGAAGGAAAGAGAAAAGGGGGAGAGAGAGAGAGAGAGAGAGAAATGAAAGAAACAACCCCGAATCCTCAAGTAGAGGCAGAGACCTGAAACCTCTCTGCAAGGTTTTTCTTGCTTCATGTTCGTAAATGATATCCAACTGAAGTCACAGTGCTACCTTTACCTTTCCTACTTATTTTTAATGTAGGTGCTGAGAACTCATTTATCAACGGTATCTTCACTATGCATGGTCACATGATTAGAATTCCAACAGGGCTCTGCGTCAGTGAGGTGTAGATGGAGTGATGGTTCAGGTGAGCAGGACTAAGAGCTGCCCCCACCTCCATTTGCTTCCATGGCATCTCTTGCCTATGTTATTTTTTTTGTGTGTGTGTGTGTATGTTTTTTTGTGTGTGTGTGTGTGTGTGTGAAATATTCCTATGTGCTCAAATCTGCAAGCCAGTGGGAATTCCTTGTTTCTGCTTCCTGTTCTGATGACAAAGAATCCCTATTCCTTCCTGCCGGCTTTCCTACTTGGGCAGAGTGGAGAGTGCAGTTCTTGCGATGCCTGGATAGTGACTTTTAACAAAGAACAAATGCTCCTTAAACATTGACGTGAACAACAGGCAAGGTATACCTCAATTCAGGACTGCGGAAAACGACAGATCTTGTAAGGGTGAATAATGCAGACAAAAGTGACCATCTTTATTATACATATTAATCTGTGGCTGTAAAGTCATTATTTATGGTGGAGATGGATACTACCTTTACTTATGTAGTCTTATAACTTGCCCAATTTAATAAGGTAATTTGGAAAGATTTTAAAAGATCTTTGTAATAAAGATCATTAAAATAAAGATAAATAAGGACAAATAAGAAGATTCATGGGTGGAAGAGAAGAGACTTTCTTGAAAGCTTAAGTAGGTTATTGGCAGCTATAGTGGAAAAGAGAAGTATTTAATGGCTACTAAAAAGAAGAAACCAGTAAATGGAGACAGACTTCTTTCTGCTGTTAAATTCCGAAATGAAATTATTGTCTCGATGCATACCCAGCAGATAGCAAACCAAAGTGGATGATGTCTTTAACACTGGATGTGATTCCTCATGTGGTCACTTTGTATGTTAACTATCTCAGTGTAAACAAATAGCCTATGTTTTTCCGGATCATATCCCATGAGGGGAAAAAAATGGGATAACAACTCATCTAAGAAACGAAATAATGGAAAAGGACCTCATAAATTTTCAACATGTACAATTAGGCTCTGTAAAGCCAGCAGGCTCTTTAATTCATAGGGCAATAACTTTTGGATAACTGCCTCACATATTGAGACATCTAAGCTTACATACATCTACATTTGCCCTGCTGTACTTGTGAAATTGAAGGACATTGAGATGGGGAAATCAAACAATTCCTGAATGTACGTTGCAATCCTGAATCCACGTGGTGACTTCCTCATCAGCGATGTCCTTGTTAGTGGCTGCTTTTAGCAGAGCGTTGGTTCATTCTTCCTGCTGCCGGACCGCAGAGGCGCACTGTTTGGAGTAGTCCTTGTATCTCTGCCAGAGCTGAAGGAGGGCCTTGCTGGAGTGCAGCTGCTCAGCAATCTCTTCCAACAAGTTATTCCATCTGGAAGTAATAGCCAACACTCAGGGGCAGATTATCATCTCTCACCAAATGCTATTATTTACTATTGTATTTTTCATGATCCTAGTTCATGTGAACATGGAAATAGCAAAGCCACGACTCATGTCTACTTAACATAATAAAGAGTAACATGTTACACTTTTGTATTTCAAGGGTCGACTCTGGAGATGAGGTGAGCCTTTGGGTGTAGGACAGTTCTAATGCCTCTTAAAAGTCTTCTACGTATTTTGACTCTTCTTTCTATGTACCTTGATTTAATTCATTTTATAAAAAATTCAAAGCATTAATGGAGTATAATACATAGAACTCAATCAAATTCAGAAAGTTTTGATTACACTGTATTTCTAATGAGGTGTGACGTTAGCATGCTTCATACCTCATATTCACTTCCTGCAGTGTGCTGTTGAGAGTTTCCATCACAGGTGGGTGACACTCTTTTACTAGTTGATTGGTAATAGAGCCAAATTTCTGCAAGCTCCCTTCCTGCTTCTCCAGATCATCATGAAGAGTCTGTCCAAAGAAAGAGTCCCACAGATGATACACCAGAAACTAAGTGCTAATGAACAAGTTTAAAATAAATTAGTTATGGACATGCATGTTGCTATCCTACTTTATAAACTTTTACAAAGGATAATGATTCTGTCTTATAATTTTGTACTTATGACTGTGGGAAGAGTTGTAGCAATCGAGTCTTCTTGTTCTAACATCTGGATTCTTTGCCTAGGCCTAAGGAGGATGTTACAGCAGTGGAACTGGTCGTAGCTTCCATATTGTGGTACTTTTTGATGCTCAAACACAAAACCCAGGTCTCCGTGCTATAAAATATCTGGAATGTCTCTCCCACTAACTTCTAATGAGTAAGAACTAAATCACAGCTTTTCTGAGTACTGTCTCTAAGTTCTATCTCTGTGCAAATAAATCTGCATATATCTGTAAGGTAATAATTTGGGGATAATTGTTCAAAGATTTTCATTTCTGTTTGTATTAACACATCCTCACCTCACATACTTAACAATTTCTATTTCATAGATATAGAGGGGAATGGTGGTTACTAGAGCTGGGTGGAGGGTTGGATAAGGAAGAGATGAGATGCAGATCCTAGTTGACTAGTTTCAGCTAGGCTAGAAGAATTTGCTGTCATGATACCATGCACAGAACGGTCACTATGATTGATAATAATGCATTGCATACATCTCGGTTTCTTAAAACAAAGACTACTTATTAGATAAGCTGTTTGAAGTCTTCTACCTAGGACCAGTGAGGAAACTAGAAGAAAGATGTTTCTCTGGACCAGGGGCAGTCACACACCTATAATCCCAGGAATGGAGGGGCAGAAGAAGCAAGAGAATCATGAGTTTCAAATGACCCCAAGACACATAATGGCTTCAACCACCCTGCTTCAACTCCCTGCAGCCCCTCCTACTCCAGAAATCATGCTAAAATGATAGCTTCAGTTCTCAGTAAAGGTGAAGTAGGCTACAAAAATCCAGTACTTGTTCAAACCAATACCTGGTTGCCCTAATATTATTCAAGGAAAAGTCCCTTAATTCTTTTCTATCTTGAGAAACATTTCAGATATTAAATGCAGAATATATTATATTTGAAAATCCTGCACGTTATAAAATGAGGTTTTAAATTTACTATGCCCAAAGTGAGTTTTAATGATGCCTAGTATCTTCAGGTACTTAAGTTTTGAAGAAATCACATTTACGCATTTCATCCTTCCTCTTTCCCAAATCCATTCCCAAAAGGCATTCCCTTAAGGAAGCCTACCTAGGCGCTCAGTAACATATCCACTCAGGTGGTGAAGCCATCTCCTGTCCTGCCCTGCCCAGCCCACAGCCTGTGCATTTTTAGCCAAGAAGAAAAGGTAGTAGTGACAGCTCAGTGTGGCACACTGGGTATTCAAAGGAGTGAAGGCAGAGGCAGTGAATCTGAGGGCAGCTACCTGAGAAGCAGGTAAGGTGGTAGGAGCTATGTTTAAAACAGACAGCAACATGTGCATTCTGGATAGCTACAGTAACAATGGAAGAAAACAAACAGTAAGCATTGGAAAGAGGGCTGTGCGAACTCTGCACCAACCCCTGGGATTTTACTGATACAAGAGAAAACTCTGGTTTAAGCGTTTACCACCTTGGCTATTTTTCTCTTGGTTTTCTTTTTAATCTCTTAGAAGAAGTTTGGAGAGGGAAGACACACATGGCTATGACAATGGGTTAAGGAAGTGGATTTGGGAAATCCAATCATTTCATAAACACACAAGAGGGCATTTCATATAACAGGATGCAAAAAAGTCATTCAGCAGAGACTAGCTACTTTAGAGTCTGCAACCCAAGGCAGGCCATATATATATTTGTTTTTTAGAAGAAGCATTTTATTACAGCTTTAACATACTAAATAACAGTTTCCAGAGCAAAGATACATCTCTTTCAAAAGTGTTAAAATATACATATATATTTTTTTTTTTCAGAAGAAGCATTTTATTACAGCTTTAACATACTAAATAACAGTTTCCAGAGCAAAGATACATCTCTTTCAAAAGTGGCTATAAAATTTTTAGGTTCGTTGTTGAATTAATACAGTTATACAATACTGAACTCAGTATAAGCCCTGTAAGACATAAAATTGAATGAGTTTTTAACCTTAAAAAAGATCTCCATTTCATTTTAAAACATACTGTTTCTTACAGAAAGACTTGCTTTTGCTAATAACACTGAGATGTTGGTGCATCTCAGCGTCTCTTTTTGATGAGCTACTGAATTGAATTAAAGTTACTTGCAGGGTCTTAGGTGAGTGATTATTTATAGAACCCGGGCACCTACCCATGGCTATATCACAGAAAGAAATGCCTCTCCCTCCCCCAGCAATTACTAACTGCCTGTAGATGCTCAAGAGAAAAGTACTCTTCTTCACACCACCCACACCAGTATGCTGAGAGCCCAGTCTAGGTCTAGTGCATGTCTTGTGCTGGTAATCACAACTATTATTAGATCAAGGGTGCAATGGTCCCACTGTGGGACTGGACCAAGAACATACTGCTGAAGAGCTCCAGACTAGCCTGGCATGCTATGCAGAACCTGGCCCACTTGGGACCAGGTCCTGAACCTTCTGCTTCTGGGATCTGATCCACCCCACTGAGCTAGTCAGAACCTGCCCATTCCTTCACCATCTTCCCCCTTTGGGACTAGCTAGGAACCCACTACTCATGGGCTCTGGACCACCTTTCTGAGATAATCAGGTACCCAACCAACCCATAACGAATTTCCTACTTCAGAAATAGGCCAGAAATTCACTGCAGGAGAGCTTGGACTAGCCTATTAAGCTAATTAAAACCCCACCCACTCCTTCACCATCTTCCTCTCTGGAACAACACCCCAAACTTGCTGCTTGGTTTTCAGGCTCCAAACCACCATGCTGAGCTAGTTAGAAAACATCAACTCCTTTTTCATTTCCACACTCTAGGACTTGTCCTGCCTAAAACTGTTCCAGCTCCAGATTTTCTCAGAAGCAAGCTAAGACCAGTAAACCCTGCTTCCATCTCCACACTCATAATCCAAGGTAGCCCACCTAGCACACAGGACAAGCCTGGAAGCACTCTGTCCCTCCAAAAACAACAATAACAACAAAAATCAAAAGTGATAAGCTGTAGGACAGACCAACTGTTTATATCTAATCAGAAATCAGCCAAGCTACAACAACAATAAAAACAGAACCAATCTTCAATTCGACAAAGATAAGTTAGAAATTCATATCAGACAAACGACCAAAAAAAGAAATCTATATGGCCAGATCACAATGCAAAAACACAAATAATATGAAAACCAAGATTTTGTTGCCACGGAACTCTACCAATACTACAGAAGTGTTCTATAATAAAAGCTACCCAGAGGCACCCTAGGACAGAGAACTTAAAAGAA